TGCACGCCCTTGCAGAACTCGAAAATGAATCTAAAACGTCCAGCAAATAAAGTTCTTCTAAATCTGATAAATCTTGTGTTTCCTAGATTATATGTGGCACGAACCCCCTTAAATGGGCCACGGGGTTGGTGCGCTGTACCAGCATGGGGGTTAGATCAGAGCAGGATAGGCGTTATTGGGAACGCTCACTCATAACAAATTTCGCACTTGGGATGGTGATGGCACGCCTAGGTGCGGCCTCTCGTCGCGCCAGTCACCTTAGCTCTCTTCTACTTCCGGTCTTCGTGACTCAGTCATGACACTGAGTCCAGGTGGGAGGAGGAGAGAGTACGGTAGATTCTGTGCAAGCCTACTACCACTATAACGTAATTTACGCATAATTCACTATCCTTGTGTCACCATGCCGTGGAGCACACGGTCGAAATCGATGATCGACCTGTCAGTACCTCACTGCCATCTCAATCTCACTTTTTTGGATGACGCACCAGTTAGGTCATATTCATAGTCTTCCTGTTCCCTACTGTCAGCCAAGAAACTGTTCTTTTCTATTTCCCGATTCGGTTTACGAAACGGATTTTTGTTAGAGGTACTCACTAAAGAGCTAACCTCAGTCATTGAGTTATGCGACTCCTTTACTCTAAAGGATTTAGGCTTGATAGAACTACGAAAAGCCACTTATGATTACCGTACAGGAAGAAAATCGATTGGTATTACGAGTTGTCGAAACTTTTTTATTATGCAAATAATTTTTGAATGTTCTTACGGGTAGATTTTAGAGCTTACATCTGATGCCAAAAGGGGGAAAGTTTGAAAACTACTTGTCCATAGCAGATGGACTGACAGTATCTACTGTGTTCTGCCTTTTTTCGGCTCTGCTATAACCCGAGTCGATTCCGGGCCTGCCTAACCCCCGCTGTATCGCACGGAACTCCACCATAACCCAACATACTGCGTTCCGTCTACACCTACAGGACTGAGTTATCTGTGTTTGGCTAGCCATTCCTTTTCTGCCAGTAAATCTCCCAATCTTCCATAAAAGTTCTGAAATATGTGTCTTCTAGATTCGCCTGCTAAGCGACTCTGCTGAGGACAGTTCTTCAGGACGGAAGTGGAACTCAATCCGCGGGTTGGTGTCCCAAAGTTCTCGTTCTGCAAGCCCTGCTGGCCTAGTCTTTGCTAAATTCGGAACACTTGTAGTTGTTCTTACTTGAGAATTGTCGAGTTTAACTTCGTTTAAATAATTTTGCGGCAAGCGAATGCATCCGCATCGCATGTGCCTTTAGCGCCTTGTTATGTGGTCCATGCCATTTCTTGTCCCTATCCTCAAATGCGACAATGCAAAGGCGATTTTGGTTTACAGAACCGACATGCTCTGGTTGCCGTCGTTGCCTATTCACAACTCTTTGTTTTTCAAACCCGTGATATGCCTCGCTTTTGTTAGTGCTCATAGCACATATTAAGGGCTTCCTATCCATAAGACATTACAACTGAGAAAAAGCAGGCTCCTTTTTGGGCATGACGTGGGTTGTTTCTTCTGGCCTATTTTGTCCTCGTTCTCCACTTACCTAAAGATTAGCTCAAGCATCCCAGATTTAGTAGACTGTCATATTTTACTCAGAATTTAGGGTTCTGTTACTGCTTTTTCAATCGAGACCTATGATAACCGGTGGCAATTTTTAAAGGGGTGGCTCTGAGCTGCTGCCTGTTTTGTGTACCGCCCAACCCTCACCTCATTCGTCTGCTTTAAACGGCGGGTGAGTTCGTATATTCCGTTCATATCTGTTCCCTTTTTTCAGATGCTCATGTGCCTGGATGTCACTTACGAGTTCGCCGCAGTCCACTTTCTTCCTGTCTTTACCAAAATCATCCGTACCTGCCGTCGGATTGATGACGACGTCAACCCTGCTACTATTACTCCCGCCCTCACGGCTGCGGCTCCTGAGAACAGCAATCCATCCACGGTGGCTGCTTCTCAGTCAAAAGTTTCCTTCGTAGAACAGCTGAAGAGCAGACGAGACGACAAGGTAAGCCGCCGTCCCCCTCTCCCTCACTCTGCAGTTTTTGCAACTTTTTCATTCACCCTTCCTTGTCAATTACAACAAACGGCGTCTTGTTTTTGCAGACAGTTACAGAGGCGTCTTTTTGTTTTGTGAAAGTCGGTCCTCGCATAAAGGAAGCCTGACAACATTTCTAACACACTAATTTGCTCATAATGAAAAAACTGGCCCCCTCAAGTAGCGTTGCCGGTTAGCAAGTGGCACGTGCAGCTCTCTGCTATCAGAGATTGGGATTGGGAAGGAGAAGATTCGATCGCTGGGACAACACTTTTATGCGCATGACTCTTCTGTTGTAATCTTAGCCAAAA